TGATTGACATCTGCCAGGAGGTCATCAAGCAGTCCAATGTGCAGATCCTCGTGCCCCCCGCGCGCCCTGACATTATGCTCTTCCGTCCAGGGGCCGCGGACCTCGGCTTCCCTCTTGACATGACCAACGGTGCCACTTTGGCACCCAATGGCAACGGCATCGCTGGTATGCCTGAAGACGAGGCCACGCGGGCCGCGCTCACCGCTGCGCAGTCCTCCCTGCCTGTTCTGCAGGGTGTGGACCGCCTGCCCATGGTGGCGGGACCCCTGTCCCCACCACTGCTGGCCTCGCCCTTCCAGAATGTTGCTGCTAGTGGCCCCACTTTAAGCACCAAGAGGGGCAGAGGGCGTCCCCGTAAAGCCAATCTCTTGGACTCCATGATGTTTGGTGCCCCAGGGGGGCTGCGAGAGGCTGGGATCCTGCCCTGTGGCCTCTGTGGGAAAGTATTTACGGATGCTAATCGTCTTCGTCAGCACGAGGCTCAACATGGGGTGACAAGCTTGCAGCTGGGCTACATAGACATCCCACCCCCAAGACTGGGTGAAAATGGTGTCCCTGGTCAGGACGACCCCGATGCACCCCGAAAAAGAAGCAGGACGAGGAAACAGGTTGCCTGTGAGATCTGTGGCAAGATTTTTCGGGACGTGTACCACCTGAATCGGCACAAGCTGTCACACTCTGGTGAAAAGCCTTACTCTTGTCCAGTGTGTGGCTTACGGTTCAAGCGGAAAGACAGGATGTCCTATCACGTTCGATCTCACGATGGCTCTGTGGGAAAGCCCTACATCTGCCAGAGCTGTGGAAAAGGCTTTTCCAGGTAAGAGAGTAGTTATAAGGACCGTAGATGCAAACGGAGACCTAGGAAGTTGTCTTTCCTATCCCTTGGGAAGCAAGAGCAGTTTGTACTTGGGATAGTTTGACTGTTCCATTTTAAGATGTTTCGAGAAATGAGACTGCCACCGTTTCCGCTGGGACGTTGTTCTACAGTCTCTTGAAAGGGTTTGAAAGTAATTAAGACGTAGAACCGGGAGTCAGCTGGCTTCTGGGTAACATTCCCAGCTTTGTCCCAGGCTTGGTGTATGCGTGTCCTTGGGCAAATCAGTTAGTCTCTCCCGCAAATGACTCTTCTGTGAAATGACTGTTGAAATAATTCCCTACCTCACATAAGTGTCTTGAGGCTACTGATTTGTAGGTAGTTTGAAGGTGCTGTTGAAGTGCAAAATATTAGTACATCTCAAGATTATTTTCTCGTATCCGTTTTAAATTTTCTTTTTCTTAACTTCCCTTCATTTCTCTTAGTTCGTAATGTTTTTTATCACCCAAATGTGAAGGAAGAGGTGAGATTTCAAAGGCTGCAGCATCAAGTATCTTTTAATACATGATCTTTGTGTCCTTTGGGTTTACATCCTTCTGAAGGGGATCCTGTTTCTGCCCTGCAACATACGTAAGATCTGTGCATTTAATGTTGCTGCTTTTTTGTTGTCGCTGTTTGTGGGAGTTAATTTAATAAGTAGTTTGATGCACATAGTCGTGTTAGCGGTATCTTATAGTCTGAGTTAATGAATTTGAAACTTTTTTGGAAGTTCGATGCTTGCTTTGAGACTGGAAGTAGTGGGGGGAGGGGGATGCGTGCACTCTGTGTTGCTTTTGTAGCAGCAGTCGGTTTTCTACAGCAGTGGATTTGCTCTAACAGGAGGGAAGGAGTCGAGATACGAAAGCAAATCAAAAAGCTACTAGGGCTAGTAGTGTCCCAGCTATATAAATGTAGGAACTGTGCCCTGATAGCTCTCTTTTTGATAGAGGGGCTTTTCGTTACTAAAATAAATTAAGAAAATGTAGACTCTTTCTTTTTCTTTTTCTTTTTTTTTTTTTAAATCAGCGTAATTAGGGGTGCATCTTCATGAGGACTGCAAACTCAGTGATGGAAAGTCATAAAGCAAAGATTTCGTTTGTAGCTAGAAGTGAAAGTGGTTTTCTTACTATAGTGCTCCCTGGGATCATCTGCCAATTTTTGTTATTTTTATTCGCACTTAAAAGATTTCTGCTGTTGCTGTATGAAAGGTTTTTGTCAACAAGGGAAAGTGAAAGATACATGTTGAGTTCTTATTTTTGCCAGTAGGTTAATGTGAACAGGCAGGGATGCTGTTATAAAAGTGAACAACAGAAATGCCTACACCTCTTTGTAAAATCAAAGTATGAATGAAAAGCAGAGACTCTTTAAGTTTCAGTATCCAGTCGCAGGAGCAGCCAAAGGCAGTTGGAAGCGCGATGTCTGATTTTAGTGTCCTTCCCTCCATTCAGAAGTGCAGCGCATGAGGTTGCTGGGCTTGAAGTACCTAGAAGGACCCCCAACCAGTCTTTCCGGTTACGCCGCTCCAAACCACTTGCTGTTAAACTCGGGTTTAACAGCCTGACTGCAAAGTTCAGTCTATTTTCTGCCTGCAGTGCGTGAATTCCATCCCGCGCCCTCTCATTGGAGCAGCTGGAAAGCTGGGGGAGGAGAGGGTGGAGAACTTGTTTCCAAGCAGTTTTTGCCTCATACAATGAAAAGCTTTCTTCCTACTAGGAGAAACTCCCACCAGGAAAAGCTGCAGCTATTCAGTCTTCTCTTCTTCAAAGTAGGCTTTACTGATTGTGAAGAATGGTCGAACTTTTTCCAGTAATAATTTGCTCTTCCATTGCACCTTCTAGTTGGGACCTTCAGAGCACTTTATTTGTATGAATGCAGTCTCCCCACCGAGTTGTGAGTTAGGACAGTATTTTTTCATCTTGCTGGTGGAAAACGTGTTACAGCAACAGAGTTTAGAGTTGGTCTTTTTGCACAGAGGTGCTTAAAGTTGGCTTCTTACGTCCATGTTTGGGACATAAACCAAAAGGGTCTGATTTTCAAATATTCAGCAACTGTAAATCAAAATGCCCTGATTGTCAAGATCTAAATAGAATTTTGGAAGGGGACATGCAGACTTGAAAACTGTAGTGTGTGTTTCCTGTTTTCTTGGATCATTCAGTTGTAGTTTATTCCTGAGAAAATACTGCCTTTTTAAGCAAGTTGGAGAGGGTACTTATCAAGGTAGAACCCCAGCTGTTGGTGATCTGGTTCTTGGAAAGTTAAATATCACTATATTTATAATAGATCCACCACTGGGATCTTTTTTTTTCTTTTGGTTAAAATTATAAGTTTATTTTTAGTATTTGTTTTAAGTGTGCTTATGTGTATTTTCTTTTAAGGCCAGACCACTTGAATGGACACATCAAACAGGTGCATACCTCAGAGAGACCTCACAAGTGTCAGGTAGGAGCTGGAGGGGTTTAGACTGATGTATGGGTAATCTTTGGCATTGTGTTTATGTGTGCAGACAATTATGAAGTATCAGTAAAAATACCATGTATGTGTGAGTTGGGATAAATGTTTGTAAATAACAGCATTCAACAGTTACAGCTGCTTTACATCCCTCCTATCCCACAGCCCCTTGTGTCATCTACTGCTTTGGTCCTCCTGCCTCCTTCCCCTTCTACCAGATGTTCTTCCCTACTTCTCTGTCCCAGTCTCACCCTGGATCTCTTACTCAGCCACATTGTCCCTGGGCTTAGAGCCAATGTCACTGATGATTCACTCCACCCCTTGCCCCCATCCTTTTTTTTTTTAATTTATTGCAGTTGTTGCCAACAGAAGGCTCCAATGCTGACTTCACTGGGTTTTTTTAGTTTAATTTCAAATAAAATTGGTAAATTATTAGAACTTGCCAAGATACTCTTTTTTTTTTTTTTTATCACATAGACTTCAGAACATGCACTGAGCAAAATTGGAAGCTTTATTTTTATCCCAGGAAGAACACAGATAACAGCATCACGGTATCTTTTGCAATACAATGTCATAATGTTGTATGTTGTTTTTTTTCAGTTAATAAATTATTCATTAGGATTTGAAAAATCAAATCAAGAAAGATATTTTGTAATTCATATGTAGAGAGATTTAAAAGATGCCTGGAAGTATTAATTAAAACCGAAGTTGGGAATCGGCTTCCATTATCACCCACTGCCTTCACATAGTTGTTGGGCAAACTTCTAAAATGTTTGTTGGGCTAACAGCCTCCATGCTTGGTTTCTGAAGAAAAAAAACATTTAATTATTCATTTAAAGAAAGTTGGAGCAAGATAATTCTTATTTTATTTGAGGACAGTGAAGGTTAGAGGATTTTTTTTTTCCTTTGAAAATTTTTAACTACTTTTTCTGAACCTGATCAATCCTACGACTGTTGCCTCCTGATCTGCGTTTTTTTCCCATCTTTTGACACACCTCTCCTATGTTTCCTCCAAATTGTGAGAGTTTTGAAACATTTTGCAACTTTAATAATCCAGTGAAGAGTTTTTCAGACATAGAGAGCAGTCTAAAGGTTTTTGTTGAAGCCCATACGATCTGTGGAAACCCAGCATCTTTGAAAATCAGGCCGTAGAGCCTTGACATTGATTTAACTGCATATCCTATATAAAGCCTTAGATTGGTTTAAGCTTCTTAAGATGATTTAAGGGTTATAGATGTATATAAATTGGAGAATTCCACTCATAAACAAACTTCACAATTTGGACATAGCAAAGGGTCTGGCTGGATGAACTGAAGATGACTACCATTTTTTTCCATAAGTCTGTATTTGTGTGTAAGTATGAAAACGAATGTTTAGGTCCCAACATAAACAGAAACTCATCAGTCTTTTGCCACTTACTGAACTAACACAGTTTATGAATAACGTCGATAGACGTGAATTGTTCTTTGCCAGCTGATACCTGATAATTTTTTTATAGTTTTCTGTTTGACCTAAGAATCTTAAATATAAACTCTGTAAGTGTGAATCAGAGGATACACTAAGAGCTAGAAAGTAAAGAAATATAGAAGCTAAGATTGCACAGCCAAGCTCAACTTGGTCTCCTTGCACACGTGTATTTTGTGATAGCAATTTCTAAGAACGGTCTTTCACATTGCGTGTTATTTGAAGTGCAATAATACTGTATGCTCTGTTCATTTCAGTTAAAAGGTATAGGCTATAGGTTACAAGCATCAAGACAGAGTTGAGGTGGTCATTCAGACTTGGTTTGTTCTTGATTTTTGACTACTTAACCCTGCAAAGTTAATTTTTCATTAATCTTAAGGTATAGAAGGTTTGTTAAATAGCTGTTGTGTATCTTTGCAAAAATACTTCATAATATCCTGTCAGATTTAGAAAGTCTTCTTAAATATGCGTAGATCTGATATACATGGTACGAACCACGGAAGGGATGCTACCACACTGAAAATTTGTTTCAAATCTGAAAGCTGATGTATAAATTGATAAAGTTCTCCTTGTGATTATCTCATAACCAGTAACACTTATGTTCCGTGACGTGTATCTAAACACAGAATCTGGCCACTAAGATGGAAAATAGCTTGATGTTGGCCAGTTGTTTCCCCATTTTCCATTCTCATTTTCCATTGATTTTGTTTGGTAAATTAGCTCCCCATGGGAGTAGCCTGAACAGCATCAAGCATCCTTTTTGAATCTGTTGAGTTCCTGTTGAAAATTCCTGTTATTGTCATCCTTTGTTTATGTTTATTGCAAAAGAGAAGTACTCTATCAGTAAACAGAAAAGCTTTCCAGAATCCTCTGTCATAATGACATTCTTGGAAGTGGTGCTCTGTTACGATTTAAACAAAATCCGCTGGCCATTTACCTGAGCCCTCATATATCTTTGCAAACCATGTTTTGTTGAAGTGGCATTGTGGTGCATTTTAGACTACCAAAACAAAAGCGTGAAGGTGTCAACTCAACTCCAGAATAAATAAAATGAAACTATGAGAAGCAGGACAATCATAGGCTGAACGTCACTGCAACAGCTATAGTCTTCAGTGCTCAGCATATAATCCTGCACTCATCCCCCTAAAATAACAGTTGTGCTTCACAGCTTTGAAAAACAGAATTCCTGAGTTCCAGCACCTGTAGCACCTGATGCCAGACCAAGACCTGATTCCAGCTTTTTCATTACTGTTGAGACTCAGAATAGGCAAGGCCTTCACAGAGCCCAGGCAGCTGAGAAGTCCGATCCAAGAAGTTGCTCTGGTGTGCAGACAAGACACCGAATGGTACTCTGGATCTTTTCTCCTGGATTGTTGCATTGGTGTTTTTTTATTTATTTATTTATTTTTTAATCTGACAGTTGAGTTCTGGATGTCGGAGCCAGGCCAAGTCAGTTTTCTGGCCATAATGGGGTAGCTGAGTTTGCTGACTCGTCATGGGAAGGGGTGAAGCTGGGTTGTTGGCTTTTGAGCGTGAATGGTATGAAAGTTGCGTTGCAGTTTGGGAGGAAGTGGTGATCTGAAAATCTGTGGACGCGAAGGAACAAGGGGAGAAAACAGAAGTTTGCTCCTTCTCAGAGACAAGAGACAGGTTGTTCTGGCAATTTAAATAAAAAAGAGAAAAATGCATATTAGATTAAAGCACAACTTTTGACAAAGAAAAAGATCTAGTTATTTAAGTAAACCTAAAATTGGCATCCCAAGTCCAGTGCTTTTCCCATTGATTTCAATGCAGAATGAGTTTCTTCCTGTCCTAATTTCTCTTACTTCCTGCCTATTAGCAGGAAAATGGCAGCCACCATGGAATAAGCTCAGAGACATCCACATCCATAGAAAAGTTGAAACTTCAAGAGGTATTTCTTAAACAATGTTTTTTAAACTTTATATATATTCTTTTTGATCTATTTATATACCTGTGCAATGTTTGATAGGAAAGCACTGGAGAGATTTCTTCTATGATTAACAATTAATGTTAAATACTTAGCACTCATTTAGCACTTCACACCTTTTGTAAAATAAAACTTTTTTTTTTTCTCTATACCTTTGATAAATATTAACGATTTGAACATTAACTTTGGGGTTTTCTTTAAACCTAGTCCTGTCTCCCATTGTTATGATTCAGCTAAACTGATTCTTGCTTTCTCCACTGGACTTAATTTTTTTTTTTTTTAAGCTTCTTTACAGATATGTTTACTATCTAGCTTATCCAAAGGTGAACTTTGCACAACTCAGCAGCAAGAGTGAGAAATCAAACACAGAAACGATCGTGTTGCCTTTCCCTAGGCTTCTGACTCGATAAGCTCAGTATGGGACAGATATGGTTTTGATCCTGGCATCCCTGTATTTATGTGGTTTGTCTCTGGTCTGCTTCATCAACCAATGCGCTCCCAGTGCCGTTGTGTGGACGCTTACTGTGGCTCCATATTGTTAGACTTATTGATGACGGATCTCTTGGCTCTCATCTTTGGTTGTCGTAGTTACATATCTTTAGTTGACACCCAACAGATTGATCAGTATCAGTGCTGGAATCCTGCCTTAAATGAGCGTTTACCTCTACAAACATTTTAGTAAGCGAAAGCTGCACCTGTTTTGCTCAGTGCTGTGTACTGAGATTTCAAATTAAGAAGAATCTTTCTTGTTGGAGAATTTGGCTCTTAATCTTCACTAATTATAATTTATGAGTCTTTGTCTGGTGAGCTTAGTTAAGCTGTGTGTATCGCAGAAATCCACATAATTTTACTGTTGTCTTTTGAAGTTCAAGTCCTGATCCTTTGAGATGCTAAGTCTTGTGTTTGCTGGAGAGGAGCCTCAGCTCCATGGGAGCTGACCATGCTTAAGCATCTGAGAGGATGGAATGAGCGTAAAGCCTGTTGAAATTGATAGGTACTTTTCAGCTGCCTTCAATGTTTTTTTGGATTAAGCTCTTGATTAACTAAATTATATAAAATTATATGGGTTATCCTCTTCTGTATTATCAGTCTCACTTACTTGAAGTTATAATTTTGGAATTTTACTAGGATTGTTACTTTAACCAGTCTATCTGTGTTGAAACAGTTGTTACTTGAAAAGACAATATATCCAGTTCCCAAGTCACGTAATAGTCTGATATTATCTCTTAGGGGGTTTTGGTTATACATCTTAAAACTGCATTATTTTATGAAAGGTGGTATAAACGATAACACTGTACACCCTTGAATGTCACTGTTGCCTGCTTGATCTGGTCACTCTAATGTATGTTTGCTTTTGTTTTTTCTCTTGCACTTACGAGCAATGGTTTCAGACTATATCTTTAGCAAGTTGTACAGGGTGTTGCTGGTGATTTATTTCACACGTTAGAGACAGAGCAAGCCTTTCAGAGCTGGCAGGCTGTCGTAGTAGGCCATATAAATAGTCTGCATGCCTACCGATTGCTATGATTATAAAAATGAGAGGGAGCCTTCACTCATCATGTGGATTTCCTCTGGGAAGTGGGCAAATAGAATCATTATTACCTTACACCAAATCAAGCTCATTTCATGGCAGTAAGTGGAACACGATACCTTGATGAGGGGTAAGTTATAAACAGCTTATAGTGTCATGCAGTTATTTTGATACCTGCTCAGTTCTGAGGCTTCACTTCTGCAATTTGTCTCCACTGCTACTGTGGGTACCAGGATGGCTCTTTTATTGTCTTCCATCATACTCTCGTCCCATTCAGTTCTCTGATGCTTTGTTTGTATGTTTTCATACTCCAAAGGGATTCTGTCTTAACCGAAGTTAGATTGATCAGATCAAAGAGTAAAATTTAGAAAGACGACAGAGAGGACATTTTGAGTGGTCTAAAGTGATTGTAATGGCTCAGTGAAATGGCAGTATTTACTGTAAATGGAATGAAGTGGTTTGTGCTATTTCTTTTATTAAATATTACTCAAAGTTTTAGTATCTTCATCCTCAGAGAGGAGATAAGGCCTTACAACTGTATCTTAAGTTTTACTGTCTGTAGTATGTTAGAGCTGTATTCCTGCTTTCCTAATTCTTTTGAGTAGTAACATCACACCTTGTGCAGTATGTTGGTGATATGAATTTTTTATTTGTGGGAAAATGGCTCGTGCATCATGTCATTTGTGTGTTTGCACAGGGTCTAAGGTATTTACTCTAAAGAATACTGAATATGTTCAACAATGTCAGTGCTTTTAGCAGAGTTGATGAGTCACATGGTTCTCGTTATACCTGCAGACTTGTAATGCTTCCTTTGCCACTCGTGACCGACTGCGCTCACACCTAGCATGTCATGAAGACAAAGTTCCATGCCAGGTGTGTGGGAAGTACTTGCGAGCAGCATATATGGCAGATCATTTGAAGAAACATAGTGAAGGACCAAGCAATTTCTGCACTATCTGTAACCGAGGTAATGAAGAAATTTTTTTTTTATTTCAGTGGGATGGGACAACACTTGAGGGAAGCTGTAAGGCTACGTGACTCTGTCTGCAACAGGAGGAGGTTGTACCATGTATGCGTATATATTCTTTGCTTTTCTTACTGAATACTTAACCTTGAAAGTGATGGAGCTACAGCTCTGGCCTTTTTACATGGCTGGTGGTTCCTGTAGAAACTCAGTTTAAATCTATAGCAAATTGTTTCTAGACAGTTTTAAGAATTTTATTTGCTAAATAGATAGATCCTGCTATTCACCATACATGTTTTCTTCTATACCTGGTTAGACTTGAGTTATTCTGTTCAGTTTGGAACCTCTTTGAAATACACACCAAGTTGAAAATTAGACACTGTACATAAAAAAAAAAAATATTATCGTTCTTGCTTAACCTCCTGGTGCAGCAGTAGAGTCAAGCTGCTTCTTCCTCTTAACACAAGAATTGCTTTGTATTAATATACATTTCTAAAATAAATTTTGTAAAGAGCACTAGAAATGTGCTTTATCTTTATTTGTTCAAATACAGCTTTTCATAGAATCATAGAATATCTCGAGTTGGAAGGCACTTACAAAGATCATCGAATCCAACTCCCTGCTCCTCGCAGGACTACCTAAAACTAAGAGCTTTTGCAGCTTTTCCATCTGTTTGTGGTACTCTTCAATTGGAGAGAGTTGTAAATTCAGGCTTTGTGGGATGTAAGGCAAGCTGGAAAAATAATTTTGACTTATTGGTGTCTTTTTTGAATGATTAATCCACAACTTCAAAATATATTGTTGGCTTAAACAGGTGTATGTACACTTACTCAAACAGTAAGTGTAGGAAGATGTTGCTGCTGTGTTTTGGGATCTCGTTTTTTCTTATGAGTCATTTTTTTATGATGCGTGTTCCCTTTTTTAATTTAAGAGAAGTGAAATATTTTGAGAGAATAAAGATGTTCTGTATTGAATGTGAGGACTGTAGAGAGAGCTTTTGGATGACTAGGAATTGATGAATAATGAGAGGCATTAAATTGCAAGGAAGATATTTCCAGTAGTTGAACTGTCTGTTAGGTCCTGAAAGTGGTGTTTGAATGGAAAAGGCATCTGGGTTGAAAATCTTCAGATTCTGAAGCTCCAGGTAGATGGTACAAAATGAAGCTTGGCCTCCTTTTCAGCTGAAGGCCTGTCTTCCGAAGAAACTGCTTGAGCTTATCTCGATTCTTTTTGTGGTAACAAGGTGGAAGACGCTATCCAAGATCCAGGTGCAATCCTGTTCTTCAGTTGAACGCTCGTATGGGTTGGGAGGAATTGTCTTGTTTCCAAGATGTGTGAGCTTGTGTTCCAACTTAGCTACCACTGGATGTCACTGCAGCTCTTTCGAAATTCAGCCAGCATGACAAAGGCAGATCTGGCATTCAAACAATGAAATGACTAAATGGTTTATTCATGTTTTACAGGTTTAAATGTACAGCGGAAATTTTAAATAAAATATACCCTTCTCAGTAGAAGGACAGGGAACCTGTTCTACAGCAAACTTTAAGCGACTACTTTCTTCTTCCAGTTTGTGTGTTTCATGTGTTGCCAGAATTTAGTCTGCTGTGACTTTCAGTTTACAACAGCACTTAGAAACTGTAATTAATCTGGTGAATTATTGTTAAATATCTACTCAGTGTTAAAATTCATAGGAAAGGGAAGTTATGGATGGAATTTGTCAAACAACTGCGTTATCAACTCATTGTTACATGCTGAATTTTGATCATAGATCTATGATCCATGACAGCAGAATTTTTAATCCAAGGTGTTCTACAATCAAATTATAGTGTTCATTGTTTTAAATAGATATCTTTTAAATTGTAGAGCCTGGCAAGATGAAGTATGGTGGAAAAATTCTGGATTAGAAACATCTGTTTGATAGACATTTGTGCAGTCAGAAGCTATGTGCCGTCCCACCAACTATTCTTGTGCCATGGCTACGGTGCTTGTGCAATGGGATTTTGTTTTATTCTTCCCTCAGTGCTGGTGTATTTTTGAATTGGAACTTAGGTGGTGCTGGATATAGTAACTGTCAAACAAGAACGCACAAGCGGCTTGTAGAGAGAATTTTGGATGTTGGCCCACCAAAAAAAAAGTGGATGCAAAGGTGACTTTTCCGCAGCTGAACATATCCTACTGTTAAAGACAAAGCTTAGAGTCCCCCAGTTTATCCCATCAGACTGACAACATTTTTGTGGAACTTAATCAAGTTATTTTAAAGGTTTAATGGATTTAGGAAATGGAGAACTCAGTACCTGACTGAAAGCAGTAGCCACTGGTTTGCCATGTCATGAGTGTACCCACTTGCTGATTTTATTTATTTATTTGTTTTACAAAATGGCAGTATAATGTCCAAAACGTACCCTCTGTGATTTGATGTTTTTTTCAGGTTATTTTCTTTTTTAGGGTCTTTATGCTTAGAATAATTATGGAATCAATTAAATCTTGTGAAGTTCGGGAAGCTGTGCAGTGTTTTTTCCTGGGATTTTCTGGTTTGGGTTGGGTTTTTTTTAGGAATTCATCTAAAACGTGCTTATGAAAACTAATCCTCACTTTTTAAGACAAATTCTCTTTAATCAGTTGAAATAAGAAAGACCTGCTCCTGCCTTGTTGTTTCATAATCTTCTATTACCATCCTTAGGAACTTTGTTTGCTTGGGTGGCTTTTTCAAAGAATTTAAGAGATTAATGACTTTGGCAAGTCTAGAACTAGTACTTTGTAATAACATGTGCAACTCAGAAGATTAATTTTCTGTTTCGGATACATACACATTGTTTGTTTTGCAGAAATCAAATGAGTTAGGAGAAGGGTAAATAGTCCATTCACAAGTTAGATAGAAATATTTTTTACAGTAAGATGAATTCATGTATATTTCATGGTGGATGCAGAGTTGAGTAAAGCGAGACATACTCTCCAGATGTTCCAGCTAAATCCAAATTAGAATTTTTGAAAAAGGAGCATCCTGCAATTATTTCTATAGTATATCTCCTTACAGATGTTATCTGAGAGATCAAGAGATAGATCTCATTTATATAGAGCAGATAATTTCCTCTCTATGCATGTTTTTAATATTGATTCCTCTGGTATGAAGAAATAATCTGCTCTGCAAAGCTGAGAGATGTGAATGGGTAAGGCAATAAATACATTCCTTCTTTGAAAAATACTGCCACTTTATCTTCTGCATTAGCCTGATTTTGGTTTTAAATAAATTTTTAAAAGTAAAGGATTATTGTCTATGAATTCCCCGTCTTCCTAGAGCAGGCATTCATAATTAAGGTCTCGTGGAAAAAAAAAAGGCCAATGCTAAGTGCTTCAGAAAAAAAATGAGGATAAAAACAACCAACCAAACAAAAATCTCACTTTAAACAGTTTCATATGAAGCAGTTGACATTCTTACTGCTTTGATGGAAGTTGATGACTCACATGTTCATCTGCCAAATGCATAAAGGGGAGCTAACACGCTTTGCAGGCAGTTTTCATTATGTAAAACAATATACTCTACAAATAGAACTGCAGAGTTCAGAAAAAATATTGTATAGCAGAGATTACAACTTCAGATTTTCCTGAGTCAGTTTAATATAGAAAAACACTGAATACCTGTATGTGGTCCTTTTTTAATGGTTGGCGATGAGGTTTTAATGCATTGTTACATGAAGAGGCTCATCTCAGCGTGTGTGTGGTTATTAGACACATGGATGAAATAAGGAAAGTACCTTGTAGTTGGAAGTATCACCATTGTATCTGCACATCGTGTCCTTTACCAGTCAGACACTGGTTCTTTCCATGTCTACGGTGAATTTTTGGTATTTGGAAAAATATACTCTGTTGTGGCCCAATGAGATATTGAGTACAGCATTTTGTGTCTGAGGGTAGGTCTTGCACTATTTTGGATTATAATATCCTTACATTAATTGCCTGGATGACTTGGCCTAGGTGATTCTGCTCCATTGTATTTTGAGAGTCGGATGTTCTTGGTTTCTTCGATTGTGATATATCTACTTTTATCTTCAACTCAGGGGTCTACAGTAACTCTCTCTTGTTCATTCTCAGCAACCTGCCCTTTTTTCCTTTTGTCAGGTTGCTGTGGAGTTCTGTCTTGCTCTGCAGGTCCTCTATATATGATTCTTAATAACCCCTGAATACTCTTTGATCCTGGCTTCTAAGAAAAGTCTGGGTAGAGGAATATTCTGTTGGGTAGACACAGGGAATTCTAGTGTAAAGCCACATTCATTATTCAATTCAGCCCCTGAAACTGATAGCTGCTGTCACAAAATCCACCTCAGAGAGGTGTGCCAGTATTGGTTTCACATCCTTCCTAATATATTATTATATACCATCAGATGTAAATGCCCATATCACTATAAAAATGGCTTTACATTAGTATATCTTTTCATATTCAAAGTGAAACATTGGTATGAAAGTTCTCTTGCGAGGGCTTGTGCTGTAAACGCTGTATTGGTTTAAAAAAATCGAGGTCTTTGGCTTTCCCTATCCAGAAAGGGAACCTGGAACTCTGTGTCTGTGACAGTGAAACTTGTGTTGTGTTCTCAGTTGTTAAAGGTAAATCTCTAACATGAAAGTTCCATAGTATTCTGTTCAAAATTTAATAGAAAATTAAGGTGATTGTTGATAGGCTTACCTGCGTAGGGAGTCTTTAAAACTCTGTCCTCCTTGTGCCTTTCGTATGGTGCAAATGTACTAGTACTGATTGCAGATCTTAGTAAAATCTGAATTTAAAAACGTTCCAAAATATATGTGAGATAATTTATTGCATTAAAGGCCATTTCTGTGAGACTTCAAAAACAATTTTAAAAAGCACATGCACAAATGTAAAAAACTGTCTTGTTCAGAAATCAATTGTTTGAAATACATATTTTTAATTTCAGTGGTTTGGGCTTATGGATCAGAACTAATAGAAATATAAAAATTTCATTTAATTTTTTTTTCACATCAGACAAAATAGGAGTTTTAGCTCAGGATGAGCTGAATGGAGGAAATGTTCTTCAAAAATTACTATAGAACAAAATCATATACCTTAAAAACTCAATAGTTTTAGCTTTTCAGCCTTATAGGAGTCACTATAAATGCTAGAAACCTAAGGGGAAAGCACACTAAATACCAAAGAGTGATGTTACTAAATGGCATTCCTTCAAATCTTAACAGCATAAAATAAGCTAATTTGACTTATCTTCCAAAGTATGATCAGATGATGAAGACATTTTTAATTAAAATAAATAAAACGGCACCAAAATGGTGAAGAGACATGGCTGCCTTTTTGTGTCATGTCTCTTCTGCCATTTTTCCCCGGAAAGTTTCATGTCATCTGCTAGGTTTGCTTACCTAGGATTTGTTTCTCAAGGAGGCTGTTCTTTCATCATGACTTCCAAAAATCAAGCGAAGTCTGAAGAAAGGTATGCATTGCATTCATTGCCTGATTATGTCTAGGAATCCTACTCGAGCATGTTAACCAGAGATCAAGCTAGTATGACGGCAACTTTGTAATAGGGGGTCGGAGCAAGAGAAGGATGAAAAGAACAGACAGGGAAGGCAGATGTGTGTCTTTGCTGGTGGCAGGATCTCATCTCCTTTTATCTTGTTTAGGTTTCTCCTCTGCCTCCTACTTAAAGGTCCATGTTAAAACCCACCACGGTGTTCCCCTTCCCCAGGTCTCCAGGCACCAGGAGTCCATCCCGAATGGGGGAGCAGCGTTCCACTGCGTCAGGACCTATGGCATCAAAGGCAAGAGACTCGCTGCTCTGCACCTTGTTGCTGTCTGCAGAACTTTGTGTTGTGGGATGTTGGGCTGGGCATGAGAAAGGGGAGGGAGGAAGAGCAGGGAAAATACTGGAGAGAAGCTTAGGGAGATGCAGAGAAGTTACATAACATCACGTAGTATGTAATATCTGTCCTTGGATAGCCGATTTAACAAGTCTGGGGGAAGGAGGTGGACACGTAAGAGTACGTGAAGTTTTGGCAGCTTCTTTGATTTTAGACATTGAAAAAGCCATGTTAGTTCATCTTGACCATCTTCCTAGGAGCAGTCAGTATTTGCATTTTGCCTGAGGGGTGCAGATCCTTGACGGTTCCTTAGTCCCACTGTACTTGAATCTTGCGTCAGTCAAACCACGTTTCTGATTTCTGGTGAAGGAAGGAGGAGCCACAGGATGCAGTTCGTAAAGATTCTTGAGTGGTGAAAGCAATACTTGTCCTCAGGTTGATGAGGAGCTATGCAACTCTCTGTAGTTTAACTTTCACTTTTAATGCTGTTGTTGGGGAGGAGAGGTAGAGGGTGATGATAATAGTACTGTTACTTATTTTGGTTTTTAACCTGCATTTAACTTCTGGGGGAAAAAAAAATATTATAAGAATAGCTAAACAGTATTTAAGTTCTGAATATGTAAAGCTGTGTGTTAATCTATGTAGAATAGTTTGCTTTCTGCTCCTTGACTTGAGCTGTCAGTATTCCTGGTGAAGCTGAAACATCAGAAAATTCTTCAAAACTATGGTGTCCCAAAAATGCATGTTTTTTTCTTGCCCAGGAGAACACAGCAGGCTGGGTTAAACAAAGTCTGTGCCAGCGGAACGCTACAGTTGTGTAACTTTTTTCTGTAGAAGTCCTGATAGAGTTACTACAGAAGCCCTTTGGTTTTGGGTGGTGTGCTGACTTAACAAGAGATTTACTCCAGCTCAGTGGTGCATTGATTTCATGCATATCCTGTTTGGTTTGTAATGCCGAGTCCAGAGCAAATCTGTCTTTTGGGTTATGCCAAGTGGTTCTTTCGTCTTTTAGAGTTAATAGTAGATACGGCTTATTTGTATTCAGAGACTTGTTTAGGGAGCACGTCTGGGTTTCCCACGCTCATTCATACGCGATGAGCAAAAAATGTGGACAAACTTTCTTGGCATAGTGCCAGAGGAGAATGGGGAACACTCCAAACATACCAATGGCTTTGCCAGGATACATATCCGAATGACTTAAAGTAGTGTCCCTAACCTCTCTCCTGTTCCATATTACAGTATTTAAAAAAGGAACAATTTTAGATTATGAAATTCACTTCTAACAGCGTTGCACTTAACTTGTAAAAAAGAGTTCCTCGAGACTAAATGGAATTGCACTTCTTAAATTGTAGTAGCTCACTGCTGTTTTGCTAAGTATTTCCAGGTTTCTTCACATCTTGTTGCAGACTCTTATACTTCACTAGGTTTCTAGGTTCTTCCCCAAAGTATCAACAATATTTCAGAAGTGTGGGAGTGAATTGTACAGTTAAAAACTCATCATTACGTCCATCCTTTTGTAGTGCCTGAGGTATAAACGTTGTGAGACATCTTTGGGATTCAAAAAAGTATTACAGAAACCAGAAACCCATTAGGGTTGCATTCAGTATCATGACAAATCTGTAACAAAAACTTGGATGTTGCTCTGATAGGATCCCAGTGGTTTGTAAAGAGGACCTATGGTCAAGGGTTTTAGAATATAAGGGACTGCAATGTTAAGTGTATCATTCTGTCATGACAGGCATTAATGAGATCAAGTGGTAACCAATATAATCTATTTTAATGCATGTTAAATACTTTTTTTGGGAGATAAGATTCTGAAAACTTCTCTCTTTTCTTTTTCCCGTAGAAGGCCAGAAATGTTCACATTCGGACCCGATTGAGAGTTCTGATTCATACGGAGACCTCTCTGACACCAGTGACCTCAAGACTCCTGAGAAACAGAGCACCAATGGGTCCTTCTCGTGTGACATGGCAGTCAGCAAAAACAAAATGGAGACGGAAGGAGAGAAGAAGTACCCTTGCCCTGAATGCGGCAGCTTTTTCAGATCAAAGTCTTATCTGAACAAACATATACAGAAAGTTCACGTCAGGGCCCTTGGTGGCCCATTGGGGGACCTCGGTCCTGCTCTAGGATCCCCCTTTTCACCTCAACAGAACATGTCTCTCCTGGAGTCATTTGGGTTTCAGATCGTCCAGTCAGCATTTGCATCATCCCTAGTGGATCCAGAGGTCGACCAGCAACCAATGGGGCCAGAGGGGAAATGAGATCAGTTTGATCTTAACGAAGCAGAGCAGCAGTCTGGCTATAATGATAAGATGCTGTGAATGAAAGAGGAAATAATGAAATTTGGTTCTATAGCTGAGAATTTTTTATTCATTTTAGCTTCCCTCTTTGTCTCATGCCCTACCCCACCTTCTCTGGGGAGAGGGATAAAATGCTTCTTTAGCTGATAAATTACAGAAAATGGTGACCTTGAATAGGAGACATGACCTAAAACACCAAATGGAGCTTTAGAGGCTGCTGCTGGTGTTTTGTCGTGATCTTCTAGAATAAACAAAAGTTGCCAGCACTGATCTGAGAATTAGACAGTCCTAGGAACGAGGCACCTGGGGAGCTACAGCTACAGGGAGCTATGCTTTTGTTCTCTCTATTCCCCACCTTCCCTAACCTACCCCAGAAAAACAGTAAGTTTTAAACAGACCCATTATTGACCCATTATGGAATATAACGTTAAGTAAAGTGCCCCGTGGTACCTAGCAGGTTACAATGCAGTTGTCCTTTTAAAAACAGAAAAATTTAAAGAAGGTGAGAGAATTTGAACCCCTTCTGCCATTTGTGAGGCTGTGAGTGCTGCAGCAGGACTGAACTGCTGAGAAAAATCACCATTCAGAACAGGTTATTTTTGTTACTTTTAACCATGAAACTTGCTGTCAGGTTTTTAATTCTCTATTATTATTATTTTAGGACCTGTCGTAGTGAATTGCTACTGAAAAGCCAGTCTAAGGCGATACACAGAGCACTCTTAAAGCAGCAGTCACATTAGGGTTAGTATTAATTTTTTTTTTAGATGTACCATAATTAATAACTTGGCTAGTTGATTGTTTTAAGTCTATGAAAGAAATAGTTTTATGGAAAAAAAAAAGAAAAAAAAAAAGGAAGGAAAAACCATTGCAGTCTGGTTGACTGGTGCTCATTTTTCATGTGGGGACCTAGGGTATAAACACGATCAGCTATCGGGTTAACACTATGTACCACTGACTTGTTTAGTGCGAATAAACCCAGGGGTTCACAGAGTGATTTTTGGTTTAATTGGATTGGACTCTATTAAAGAAGTTAGTATGTTACTTTGCATCCCCTCGTTTTGTCTGGTTTTTGAACAATTTAGCCACCTGTCCAAAAGGTGTGCAAATGAGAACCAGTAAATAAGACATTAATCCCTCTCTACACTGTACTGTACTCTCAGTGACCTGGGCTTTTTGGCTACAGTCGTGCTCTCCTGATCTGCCTCTGGTCAGGTTTGCAAAAGCCAGTCTTACTCCTTTCTTTTCCAAAGAAGAAGGGTTTCTACTATAAGAGGTGGGAATTGCAAACAGCATATCTTTGAAAAAGAATTGATTAGAAAATACAAAGAAGCTGGGCTCTAGGCTGTTGGAAGTTCCACCTAATCTGAAATACCACTTGTGCGGAAATAATGTCCTTTCTTGGCCCTCCCTTTCCTCCCGTGTAACTTGTCAAGGTCTTATGTACCAAGTCCAGGTATAAATGTTGTTTAACACAGGGTTAGGAGTTAGGAATAGTCTGAGTTATAATTATGGTTCTGCTGTTGATGCTCAAAGTCACATAGGACAGCTTACTGAATTTATTCCTTAATTTCCCATCTGTGAAGAGTCTTCTCTACATCACAATTGCTGTGAGGGTTAACAAGCAAAGGTTTAAGCAGTGGTTTGGTAAACTAAGTTGCTATGTGTGTTGAGTGTTTCTAGAAAGGCCGCTCCAAGAGCCCAAGTCCCACACCAAACTTGCATTATTTGAAATCTGAGCTGTCTCCATCATTAATGCAGTGCTGGAGCAGGATAGACCACCTCAGAGCAGGACCTCTATCCTCTGCAGGAGATACGTCTGTGTTAAATGTGAATGTAGCCACTAACTGCTGTTGTGCCACAACTTGCATTGCCCAGGTGCTCCTAATTCAAACCCTGCAGCTAATGCATAACTGAAATAAGACACGTTCCTGTTTTGTTTTTATGTTAGAAGTATAGAGCCTTTTGTAAGTGTAGAGATTTTGGAATGACATTTTAAATTCTACAGACTTAGAAGCCCCAGCTTCTCTCTTGTAAGAAGCTCCTTTTTTGTACTTGCTCTTGAGTATTATAAACCCAGGATGAATAATCAATGGCTTTCTCTTTATAGCACCAGCACTTTCTAAATTGAGAGCATATTGCAGTGGACTTGATGTTTTGCTATTAATCTGTGTTGAGAGACTGAAGACTGAGTTCTTCACCATTCATCTTCCCCCAGAATCCCTGGAATAGGTATGAGTCTCATGTAAAAGGGTGGGTGGGGGGGAAACAAACAAAAAACAAACAAAAAAAAACCCAACCGACCCACCTTCAAACTAAAGCTTCATGGAATTGCTACTGCTGTACTGGTAAGCTTAGTTGACAGTAGAAATAGGACATTTCAGGAAGGTAACAAAGCATTTTAAAACACCTTACAAATCTAGACCATGGTGAGACAACCCTGTAAACTGTCAAGCAAGTCAAGATGGAGCAGGCTTTCCAGTCAGCATAACAATTCACTGGGATTAGCAAGCGCAACTGCAGTCACTCTGGTTTACTAATAGCTCATACTTAAGCCACCAGGAAAATTTCTGTTGAATTGGGGCTGTGTAATGAAAGATACGAGAAGTTTGTGTCCCCAGTGTTCCCCTATGCACTCCAAAGAGGGTGCACTAGTTGTGAAATTCAGCTCTAAAGGCCAAGTCCAGAATAGGGGATATTTTCATCCTACATTTAGCTCCACTGACTTCAGTATCACTAGTGGGTTGAATTTTGGCCATGTGCATCAGAATTTAATTTTGAACGCTTCAGAATTTGACCTGATGAAACAAATGAAAAGCCTTGAACTAAAAAGGAAGCCTTCTAAAACACTAACTGTGCATTTTGCTTGTCGTAGCAAATGCTTAGTAAGTTGTTGTGAATACGCTGAATGAAAGCTGCTTACTTCTCAGTCTAGTGGACAGGGAAACAATTAGGCAGGAAGTTAACAATCCTGAAATGACAGCTCTAGATCATCCTAGTGCAAATGGGAGAGATTTGCAACAACACGGGAGACTGGTGCAGACTAGTGCCAGCAGTAGGTTGGGCAGATCTTCAGCAGTTGTGTGGTTTTGGAGCTCTTTGCTCCTTTGGGGGCACATTGTTCTGTTTTAGATAGTAATTTAATCTACATGCAAATTCCTTGTATTCTGTACTTTGGGAAATGTCTGCTTCTCATAGAACAGAAGACATCCAAACAGAAAACTCAGCCTCATAAGTTCAGAGTTGAAAAGAAAATACTTAACATGCCCTGGGCTGCAACATCACTTAACTTGTTTCTATTACATTTTTAATTGGCTTATCCATGTATAGATGATAGTTCTCTCATGGCTCAGACCCTTGTGTTTTAAGTATGATGAAAACATCTTCAACCATTTATAATCATAGAATCACAGAATGGTTTGGGTTGGAAGGGACCACAAAGATCATCTAGTTCCAACCCCCCTGCCATGGGCAGGGAAACCCTCCACTACACCAGGTTGCCCAAAGCCTTATCCAACCTGGCCTAAGCGTTAACGATAGACAAGAAAGGAATAGATGCTTATAGGTGAATGAGTGAAATAAAGATGCAGGGCTAAAAACCACTTCCATGTATGTTTAAGTGTTGTGTTGAATGTAGGGGCACAGACATATCATCAGGCTGCTTTTGTTGCCTGAATTAATTCATTTTTATGTACTGTTAATCTACAACAAATGCAAGGTAAAGCAATTTTATGTGAATTTATTCCATACTGAGTTAAATTAAGTGGCTAGATGTGTGCTAGATGTGTGCAAATAGACTTACTAGTGTGGGTCACTTGATCCATGGTAATGTGGTGCATGTGAGCTCTCAATCTTAAGTGATTTGCCCATGATAACATGAGAAATTGATAGCAGAACCAGAAATTGAACACAGATTTTTCCTTCTCTCAATCCAGTGCCTTAACTATAGTAGGGCAAAGTATTCTATGTTGGAGGGGATGATTATTTTGTTTGGTTTTTAAAGCCTAGAACTGTAAGATGGTGTGGAGTTGGTCTTCCTACCAATCTTTTGAATAATTGCAAATGCCCAGTCACAGTTTTAGACCTATTTGAGTGCCAGTGACTTAGGGAATATTTATTGTTTCCCATGTATTCCCTGAAATTATTATTCCTCCCTCAACTGCTTTCAGCAGTAAAGAATGACTTGAATAGAAGAGCTGTGTAACTGAATGTCTATCTAACTCAACTAATTGAATTGATAGTATGAAAGCTAACCTAGATTTTGTAGGCTCTGTTGTAACTTTAGTGTCTTGTTTTTTCACTAAATCTTTGTTCCTAGAAATCAGTATCTGAATTTATGTCTTGAGTCTGGAGTGGGGTACCACTTTCAGCTTTATTTTTTTTCTAAGGTGCTTGCTTGAGGAAGTAGATGCCAAAGTAAATGTCAAAGGAACTCCAGACTTCAGTGTTGGAAGAATGAACGGAGAGCAAGAGCTCTCTTTGGGTTTCATGAGAGATAAATGGACAAAGTAAAAAACAGCTACCAAAATTTAAAGTAATGAAACAGGAAAGGCTTTTCTTTATCACCCACAAAAATAATCAGATATTTTCAATTGTTCAGTGTGGCAGAAACTCTGAGAGCAAGTGTTGAACAAAACCATGGAATGTGTTGGCTTCTTCAGCATTATGAATATGCCTTAACAGCATTATGAATATTTTAATGTAAATTAAGCCAGCTTTGTACCATTCAACTTTTGCCTGGGCACAGTACCTGAGTTTTAATTGAACAGAACATAACCTCACAGTGAATCTCTGAGCTTATGCTCTCAGTTCCACCCCGAGAGACAAAACAAATGAGCAAAGAGGGGCGGGGGGGGGGAAAGAAAACTTAAAAGGGCAAACAGATTCTGGAAGATTCCCATGCTTCCTGAGAGAGTCCTGTTTTTTATCCTGAACATCCTTTTCAAAACAAGATCTTTCAGTTGTTGTGAATGAGCCTTTGGGACCAGATTTGGCGTTCAGCCCAATCTGCTGGTCCGTGGCCCTGTAAGGAGGCAGTGTGTTCTGGAGCACTGAGCGAGACCCGGAGGGAAGGGTGCTTCTGGGCTGCAGCCTGAGGCCACACTGACTGTTGCAGAGTCAGCAGCAGCAACATTGGCATAATGTCATCCTGCCTGCTCCCTTGACATCTTCACCCTCCACACATTCCTGTGCCAGTGTGTACCTACTCAGATGTGTACAGCTCTGTAAATAACTGTGTTAGCTAGAAAACAAGCCAGAGAACTATTTGGCTAAAAAGAAAAACAAGCAAACAAACAAAAAAACACCACAAACTTAGAAATAGTAATGTGACATAGCTGCAAAGTGGTGGTGAACAGGAGCAGGAACCCTGGCTGTACGGGGTTGTGGTGATGGCTGGAATGGTTAAAGCATGTTAGTGAAAAACCACAGTTGTTTGCTCTGTGGTAGTGGATAATGACTGCTTCTTCGTAAAGAATTAACACCTTGTGTCATCTCTAGCCTCTTCCTGTGTTTCGTTCCCATCTATGAAATGAGATTATGATAATCCTTGGTAAGAATGTTTCAAGATTTGATTGACTTGCCAAATTGTGCTGCACAATTGTGCTACTCAACTTTGCTACAAAC